GCCTTCTCAGAAGGCTCGGAAGGCCTCTGGCCTTCTTAGAAGTTGTCTGAGCCTTCTCCGAAGACAGCGAGGGCTTCTCAGAAAGCCGGGGGGGTCTGAGAAGCCCCGCCGCTTTCTGAGAAAGCTTGCCACCTCTGATTTCCCCCCGGGCTCGCCTCCAGAAAGGGGAGGACGGAGGAGGAATGAGGCCGAAAGAAGGAGACAGGAGAGAGGGAGGAGGAGGAGGAGGACGGCGATGGAGATGGAGATGGTCATGGTCATGGTCATTGTCATGGTCATGTTCATGGTCATAGTCATGGTAGTGGTAGTGGTAGTGGTGATGGTGATGGTGATGGTGAGGAGAAGGAAGATGAGGAGGAGGGGGAGAAGGAGGAGGACAGGGAGGAGGGAGGAGGAGGAGGTGGAGGAGAAGAAGGAGGAGAGGGAGGAGAAGGAGGAGGAGGGAGGCATGAGGAGCAAAGAGAGGAGAAGCCACCTCGTCGCGCAATGGCCAGACAGCAGCTCCACCAACGGCCGAGTCTGAAGCTTGACGCCCTCCCGTGTGCCGTGACACGGCCGACGACCGCTCCGTGGCGTGCCGCAAGACTGGGCCCAGGGCGTGCGCGCCTCGTTGTGGCACATGCTCGTGGGAAGAGGCCGGAGGATACGTAATGAGGATGAGGAGGAGTAGGAGGTGGAGGAGAAGGAGGAGGAGGAGCGAGGAGCGAGGAGGAGGAGGAGGAGGAGGAGGAGGAGGATGAGGCCCGAGGATACGTAATGAGGAGGCCGGAGGATACGTAATGAGGAGGAGGAGGAGAGAAAAGGATGATGGAGGTGGAGGAGGAGGAGGAGGAGGGGAGGAGGAGCGAGGAGCGAGGAGCGAGAGGAGGAGGAGGGGGAGGAGGAAGAGGAGGAGGAGGAGGAGGAGGAGAGGAGGAGGAGGAGGAGGAGGAGTGGGAGGAGGAGGACGACAAAGAGGAGGAGAAGGCAGAAGGATACGTATGAAGGAGGAGGGGGAGGAGAAAGAGCCAGGAAAGGAAGAGAAGGGATAGGAGGAGGGGAGGAGGGCGACGAAAATCACAAGAAGGGGGAGGAGGATGAGGCGGAGGAGGACCAGGAGCAAGGAGGAGGAGGAGGAGGAGGAGGAGGAGGAGGAGAGAGGGAGGAGGAGGGGAGGCGGAGGAGGAGGAGGCGGGGGGGAGGAGGAGGGGGAAGAGGGGAGGGAAGGAGGAAGGAAGAAGAGGAGGAGGAGGAGGAGAAGGAGAAGAAGAAGAACGTAGAATGAGGAGCAGCGAAGAGGAGCAAGGAGGAGGAGGGGTAGGAGGAGGAGGACGACGAAGAGGAGGAAGGGAGGAGGAGGAGGAAGAGGAGGAGGAGGAGGAGGAGGAGGAGGGGGAGGAGGAGGAAGAAGAGGGGGATCGGCGATCCACGACAGCAAGGTGCACGACCTCGACAGCTGGGGGGTGAGCAGTATGTGTAGCCCTTCAGTCCGGAGGAGGAAGAAGAGGAGGGACGAGCAGGAGGAGGCAGGAAGAGCGGGAGGAGGAGGAGGAGGAGGAGGAGCAGGAGGAGAGGGAGGACGCATCGAGGGTGAGGCGGATGGCCAGGTTGCTGTCGTGGGCGCCTTCGGGCAGGCATCCAACGCCGTGGCCCCCGAGGACACGCGGGGCCTCGCCAGCCCTCGTGCGCCCAGCTGCTGCCGCCCTGGTGGCGACGAAGACGACGAACACCACGGGGACCATTGCGACGACGACCCCGACCACGACGACGACGACGACGACGACGACGACGACGACGGCATAGATGAGTAGGAGGAGGGGGAAGACGACGACAAAGAGAAGGAGGAGGAGGAGGAGGAGAAGGAGGACCAAAGTAAACCCAAGGTGCATCAGCGATGCTGCAACACACCCTCCCGTCCCGAGCCACCCCCCCCCAGAAGTCCCTGCAGGCGTGTCGTGTCACCGAAGGAAGCGCCGCACTGAAAGAGCAGCACGTCATTCAGGCGAGAGATCCCCGTTTTGACAAGGAATGGTCCAGCATTCTTCTAGCGCGTCATCAGGAATGCGAAAGGGTATGATCATGCCGGTCAAAGAGGTGTCTAGCGAGATCCCGTTTGGAAACAGAGCCGCCCCCCACCCGTGAGATTGTTGCACTAGTTTACATTTATGGCTATGAATTTCGAGGAATTACCAAGCGAGAGCCACATAACGAAAAGGAACCGCACCGCATCCGTTCCGCTGCGACGTATCTGAATTATTTAGTTTATGGCTTGAAAAAGACTGCCCTCAATCCTTGTTCTTGCAGCAAGCTTTTCAGACGAGGGCGCGTGGCGCTGAGGCGAGACCCCCAGTTTGAAAATGAACCGCCCTCCACCCTTATGACCGCTGCAAACGTTGAAAGCGAATGTGCGCCACGCTGAGGCGAGAGCTCCATCTTGAGAACGGCCCCGCCCCCCTTGCAGGTGCTTGAGAAGCACCCGCGCGCGGCGCGAAGGCGAGGGTCCCCGTTTTGAAAGCGAGCC